TTCCTTCTCTGCATTAATGATTAAGATCATATTTATCTACCTTTTCATTATTACTCATTTTTTAATGACTTTTGCCTAATTTTGAATTTTGTGTAGATTATAATAAAATTTCAAAAAATAAATTTGAAATATGAATAATTATAATTAAAAATTATACAAATTATAAGGCCTTCTAATAAATTGAAAAAGAAAAAAGGCTCAATTATTAGGATTTTAAGGAATAATAAACAGATAAAGAATTTCTATATTTTCCTTTCTTATCGGATTTTATTCAATGTTTTTTCGAACAAAATATATTTCGAAGGTCTGAAAAAAATTTGGATTGATTAAAAAGATCATATTATAAAATTTATGTATAATGCAATAATAAATAATGGGTAAAATAAAAAATTTCAATTTTTTTTATTGAAAAAAAATAAAATTACCATCCCCTCTTTCAATCCTGAAAATTTTTGATTAATAAAAATAGTATTTAATTATTAAAATTATTGTGCAAGAACTATAAACTAAATCTAACTTTTTATTATTTTTACTATAGAATTTAATATATCCACAATTCTTTAAAAATATGGGATCTATAGAATTAATTAGGAATCTAATTAATTGATATTTCAATCACAATTATGAGTATTATTTAGTTATATTTATACTGTTGAATGAGATGAGAAAATAGATATGATAGATAAAAAGAAGATATTGTAATTTTCATATCAAAATTATTAAACTGCTAATGTAGAGATAACAAATCCAAAATCAGGAATTTTTATAATTAGAATTAACTTTGCTTCTTAAGTGTATGACAATACTTAAATTAAATTTTCCTTATAACAGACAAATAATTCTTATACTTTAAGTTATTGTGTTGAAATTTTTATTATTTTTTAATCCTTATTAATAATCTATATTTCAAGTCCTCTTAGAATATTTTAATTAACATTGACAAAAAATTCTAACATGCTGTATAGATTTAAATTCAAATATCTAAAATATAATTGATAATGTTGAAAATAGAATATAAATTTATGTAAACATGTAACCAAAATATATTAAGAAAAATTCAGAAAATTAACTCATAAATATATTTTAATTGAACAATAGAATGCTAAAAAATCAATCTACTAAATAACAAGCTGTAAAATAACAAAAGGAATACAAAGTTATAGTTATAGTTTTTAAATTCACAATTAAAAGGACAGATAATTAAGAATTCATATATTAATGTTATCAAAAAGATTTGATTATTTTTATATATTTTATTTAAAGACTACAAAATTGGTCATCAAAATAGAGTATTAGATTAAATTTATCAAAGCCAACTCTAGAAGGGCATGAAAAGCTTTAAAGATCAATCCAATAGAACAAATGCAATAATAAAAGTGATTCTAAAAAGAAATTTTTTTTAGAGCTCTTTCATAATCACAAAATGCTTCTTAGGAGATTGTATAAAATCTTCTAAGCAGATTGTTTAAAAGCCCTAAGAGTAAAATTTGATAAACTTTTCAACTCATTCTACAAGTATTGTATATTAATAATATAGCTCCATCTTTAATTCATATTGATCATCCTACTTCTTCTGAATTATATTAAAACACTATAGATTTAGACCTTTATCTATTTAATTCGTTTTCAAAAAGACCAATTTTACTTTAGAAATGTTGAACCTTAGCATTCTAGAAAAAAAGAAAAGTCAATATTGGTCAATTTTATGAACTGAAATAATCATTAGAAAAGGAGTAAATTTATAATGTTTAGTAAAACAGGTGTAGATTCAATATGAATGATAATTATAAACTCAATTTTTTATCATATTCTATTATTAGACATTAATTGTGATTTTTACTTATTCAATAATTTTTTGATACATAATAGAAGTCGTATCAATTTTTGAACATCATATATAATTAGATACATCTTCTTTTATTTGATTTTATTTCTTAATTTCTTCAAAACTGTTAAGAATAAAATAATTAAATATCATATAAGTAAAATCCTATTTTTTATAATCTCCAAAATAAATCAAAAATAAAAGTATTATTTGAAGATTAGACATAAATTATAGTCCCTAGTTAGAATCAAAGTATATAAATTTGAATTTTTAATTCTATTTATTAGTATTAATTCTAATTTACAATAATTAAGGATTTTATAGAGGGTTTATGAAGTATACATTAACTATCTTAAAGTTTTAGACTCTATAATGATGAATATATTATCTATTGATGTTCTTTTTTACTAATAATATCTAAAAATGTTTGGATTAAAAAAATGTGTTAACGATAAAAAGTAATTATTATTAATCATATGATATTCTTAATTTTTAATAAAATTTTCATATTTTATTCATCTAAAATAATGAATATCATTTAGAACAATTTATTCATTTAGACTAATTTATTCATATTAGATTGATTTTTAGAATTACTTGAAAGAAATTTTTTAATTTATTTCAACATGATAGATTAATTATTATAAATATATAAATTGTATATAATTTATTAAAAAATTTTCTTAATTAAATCATTTATTTAAAATGATCAAAATATTTTGACAACCCTTCTATCTTTAGATAATATATTAAATACTATCACTCTTGAATCATTTTCATTATTATCATTATCAAACTATTAATATAATTATACAGCCAATTTACACATTAAAATATCTTAATAATTTCAATATAAATTACTATTTTTAAAACTATAAAGATTTATTTTTTAATATATTTTAAATTTGTTACATAATTTAAATACGATTCTATAATCTGACTTATAAACTTATAATAATCTCCTAATTGAGAATTCCTCCTAGGGATAGTTAAATTAGCTGGTATACTTTTGTACCTTTTATAATTGTCATTTAGGGTGTGTTCGATCTAAAATCTTAATTTTTTAGATTCTATAATAATAAAATATTCTACTAAATACTATGAATGCTTGAGACTCTCTAAACAATTATATCTTAATTTTTTTATTTATTTTCTCTTCTTATTATATTAAGGTTAACAAAATCAAAATATTTGATCGAATTAATAGAATAATATTTATGCAATAACAACAGTACTATATTAATTAATAATTTATTAACTTAATTAATGAATGATTAATATTTTGAATCTTATAATAAGTGCTTGTTCTATGAAATAAATAAAATATTTTAAGTAATATTTGAAAATCAGAATTAAAGATATCATACAAAGTCTATATGTAAATTAAGTTTTTGATTCAAAAAAAAAGGAAGAAGGTAATATGATATTTGTTTAATAGAAATTGGAGGATGTATGAATATAAAAAAAAGAGTACTTCTAAAACAATTATTATCTTAAACCAAAAAACAATAAAATAAAGAATTGAAAGATTAAAATATCCTATAAAAAAAAGTAGAAATTAAATATAATTATGTGTTTATAATGTTTTTAACAATTATCATATTTCAATTTTAAATTTATCTTTCCAATAAACAACTGTTTTAAGATTGTAATAATGGTTTTAAATCTACCCCTTAATGATTGACAAATTTTCCTTTCAAGATTAATGCTCCTTATGCTTAAATAATTACTTATTGAGATATAATAAGAATAGGATAATTTTAAGCTAAATTTAGATTATAAATAAATACTTCGTAGAGGATAGTTTTAAAAGATTGGAGTTTTGAATTATGCTAGAATATCTTTATAACTTTTATTTGAAAATTAAATTTCTTTTCCAGTATTAACATCCCATAAACGGATAGAGTTATCACTACTACCTAATGCTAATGTAGCACCATCAGGAGAGAAGCATACTGACAAGTCCTAATTACTATGACCATCAAATTTGGACTTTTATTATCCTGTCTTAACATCCCATAAACGGATAGACTTGTCTGCACTACCAGATGCTAATGTAGTACCATCAGGAGAGAAGCATACTGATCGAACATAATCACTATGACCATCCAATTCAGACTTTTATTTTCCTGTCTTAATATCCCATAAAAGGAGAGAATGATCATAACCACCAGAAGCTAATGTAGTTCCATCAGGAGAGAAGCATACTGATTGAACATAACTACTATGACCATCAAATCTGGACTTTTATTATCCTTTTTTAGCATCCCATAAACCGATAGACTTATCTGTACTACCAGATGCTAATGTAGTACTATCAGGAGAGAAACTTACTGATACAATTGACTAACTATGACCACGCAATTTGAATTTTTTTTTCCTTGTCTTAACATCCCATAAACAGATAGAATTATCACCACTGCCAGATGCTAATGTAGTACCATCAGCAGAGAAGCATACTGAGTAGACTGCATAAGTATGACCATCTAATTTAGACTTTTCTTATCCTGTCTTAACATCCCATAAACGGATAGAATAATCATAACTACCAGATGCTAATATAGTTCCATCAGGAGAGAAGCATACTGAGAAGACTGAACTACTATGACCATACAATTTTGACTTTTATTGTCCATTCTTAGCATCCCATAAGCGGATACAGTTATCCTGACTACCAGATGCTAATGTAGTACCATCAGGAGAGAAGCAAACTGAGAAGACAATATTAGTATGACCATCCAATTTAGACTTTTCTTATCCTGTCTTAACATCCCATAAACGGATAGACTTGTCTGCACTACCAGATGCTAATGTAGTACCATCAGGAGAGAAGCAAACTGAGAAGACAATACTAGTATGACCATCCATTTTATTATGCTCAAGTATTCTTAAGTTGGTCCATTAACAATTAAATAATAAGGCTTAATTTAAGTTCATTCCATTTAAGTATACATTATCAAGTTACGATCCACTTAAGTTGCATCTAACTAGATTAGCTCCCATTAAAGAAGTATTCTTAATTCTTATGTTTTCAAAATTCTAATATCTAAGGTCAACTTTCATAGTAACTAATAAATGTAATGAGTTTGATCCACATGGTATGAAATTGTCATCATAGGCTGTGAGATGAACTAAGAATTTCAGAAATCTGATGATCTCCTTTTAATCTCTTATTCTTTTTATTAGATCCTGTCTCTATTCCGAATATCCTTCATCAGAATAGTCTTATTTATTAAAGATATGATCTTAAATTTTTATAATGACATAAAGAATTAGTTTGATGATATTTCTCAAAGTATCCATCCTCTATTCTTTTTCTCCTTGTAGTTAATCCTCTCTTTTAGAAATTTACTCTTCTAGATGTCTTAGATTTTCTTCTTCTGAAAGAAATTCCATCCAGTCAAAAGAATTATGTTTTCCTAGCATCTAAATTATCAAACTGTATATTCTTTCATCCACACCTTTAATTTAATAAAAAATCTGACAGAGGTCATCATTCTACTTATGGGAATCATCCATTTTCTTTTTTCTTTTTTAAATATTGAATTTCTATTACTCTAACTTTGAGTTTTATACTAAAAATCTAAAAGAATCTTATTTGTTTGAGGATCAGAATTTTTTAAAATTTTAAGTTGCTTGTGATTGATAATTTTTTGCCAATTGAGAAATCAATAGGATATATACAAGGCTTGAGGAATAAAGAATACATAATAAATAAATAATTTGCAAAAATATACTAAAATAATATTAGATGAAAAATTCTTTACAATGTAGTTTTGGTCATTTAATTTTTATTAGCTTATGGTTTTGTAATTATTAATAATAAACTAATAGATTCATCCTCAGTCATGAATAATTGGAATAATGTAGAATAGATTGAAAGTTAGACAGATATATTTTTTTTCTTTTTTTTATAAATCGATGATACACTTAAGTAAATAAATTGAACAACTTGGTGATTGATTTATTTATTAAAAAAAAGATAAATGCTCATACTTTGGAATCATTTATGGTGTTGATTCCTTTTTTTCTCTTCCTTTTACCTCTGGTGGCAGAGGGGAAGCCATACCCTATGTACCCCTAATACAGTTGTAATTACCTCAATCAAATTATTTTATTTATTTAATATTTAAGTCTAAACTGAGTATGAATCTTCACATATAGGGTGTCATCTATTTTAGGTTAAAATTTGAATAACCTTATTCATCTCCCGCCACAAAAAACAAAAGGAAAAGTGAAGGGTTGCTTTTACAGATTATGTGATAGAAGTTTTGCCTTAAATAACTCCATCAATTAATATGTGATATATTTTAATATCTTAAACAACAAAGGGAATAAATAGTGGNAAATTCTAATATCTAAGGTCAACTTTCATAGTAACTAATAAATGTAATGAGTTTGATCCACATGGTATGAAATTGTCATCATAGGCTGTGAGATGAACTAAGAATTTCAGAAATCTGATGATCTCCTTTTAATCTCTTATTCTTTTTATTAGATCCTGTCTCTATTCCGAATATCCTTCATCAGAATAGTCTTATTTATTAAAGATATGATCTTAAATTTTTATAATGACATAAAGAATTAGTTTGATGATATTTCTCAAAGTATCCATCCTCTATTCTTTTTCTCCTTGTAGTTAATCCTCTCTTTTAGAAATTTACTCTTCTAGATGTCTTAGATTTTCTTCTTCTGAAAGAAATTCCATCCAGTCAAAAGAATTATGTTTTCCTAGCATCTAAATTATCAAACTGTATATTCTTTCATCCACACCTTTAATTTAATAAAAAATCTGACAGAGGTCATCATTCTACTTATGGGAATCATCCATTTTCTTTTTTCTTTTTTAAATATTGAATTTCTATTACTCTAACTTTGAGTTTTATACTAAAAATCTAAAAGAATCTTATTTGTTTGAGGATCAGAATTTTTTAAAATTTTAAGTTGCTTGTGATTGATAATTTTTTGCCAATTGAGAAATCAATAGGATATATACAAGGCTTGAGGAATAAAGAATACATAATAAATAAATAATTTGCAAAAATATACTAAAATAATATTAGATGAAAAATTCTTTACAATGTAGTTTTGGTCATTTAATTTTTATTAGCTTATGGTTTTGTAATTATTAATAATAAACTAATAGATTCATCCTCAGTCATGAATAATTGGAATAATGTAGAATAGATTGAAAGTTAGACAGATATATTTTTTTTCTTTTTTTGATAAATCGATGATACACTTAAGTAAATAAATTGAACAACTTGGTGATTGATTTATTTATTAAAAAAAAGATAAATGCTCATACTTTGGAATCATTTATGGTGTTGATTCCTTTTTTTCTCTTCCTTTTACCTCTGGTGGCAGAGGGGAAGCCATACCCTATGTACCCCTAATACAGTTGTAATTACCTCAATCAAATTATTTTATTTATTTAATATTTAAGTCTAAACTGAGTATGAATCTTCACATATAGGGTGTCATCTATTTTAGGTTAAAATTTGAATAACCTTATTCATCTCCCGCCACAAAAAACAAAAGGAAAAGTGAAGGGTTGCTTTTACAGATTATGTGATAGAAGTTTTGCCTTAAATAACTCCATCAATTAATATGTGATATATTTTAATATCTTAAACAACAAAGGGAATAAATAGTGGATGGGTTTTTTTATGAAAATTGCGATCGAACTTTTGCTTTAATCATGAATGATGTGAACCTAATATATATGAACTTATAATTGAATCCTCTAACAAATGATGTATGATTTAATAATCTGTTATAAATATGATTTTTAAGTATTTCATTTTATGACTAAAACTTATTATGACCCCTATTATTGAGGCTCCAGAGAAATTGTGATCAAAATATTTTAAAAACCAAAGGGGGAGTATTACCTTTGATGTAGATGTACTTTTGTTAAAATGGCATCCAAATTTTAGATGAAACAAGAAGTGATGTAAACTTGAGTTGTTTGATCTCAGAATTAAATGGGCTATTAATTCAGTTATGATATGCATAGAATTTGATATGGTCAATATTTTTATGAAGATTAATATGTGATAAAAAATGTTAAAAAAGGATTGATGAAATACTTTACAAGTGATAGTAAGGATTTTTACAATACCCCATAAAAGAATAAATTTCAAATTATTAGCAAAGTTATTTAGCATACTTTCAGATTGGATAATTGTCTCAAAGCCTAGCGAATGAAACCTTTAATTAATAAAATTTAGATTTTTAATAAGATTAAGTTATTTTAATTTTTTAAATAAATTGAAAATTGAAAGTTCAAAATAGAATAATAATTTTAACTATTTATTGATTAAATTACATTTTAATAAGAATTATTCTTATATAGCTTTGATATCTAAAAAGTAGTTGATGTAAACATATTATTTATTTAGAAATTAAATGATAGTTTTCATCTTCTTGATTAATATAAATTATATTTCTCAATTCTTGGGTTTAATTGTTAGAACATACTACAAAACTCATAAATAATTTTGTTATTTTATAATTAAGGAAAATTTTGGTAAACTTTTGTGATTAATTGAGGTTTTGCTGATATATTCTTATTAATTATTATTTTATTTGCATTCATCAAAATTCCTAATCATTAGTTTATTTGTCTCTTTCTTTTCTTCCTTAGTTTTCCTTCAAGAATCTGTATGATGACATTAATTGATTCCTTCACTTAGTAGTTTTATATCAAGGAAAAGTCTTGGAGAATATCATCATATTCAATTGCTCAGGCAAATCTATTCATTTTCTAAGTAGTGCTTAACACACTTTTAGTTACATAACATTTTTGCTAATATCATCGCAATTAAAATTTTTACTGGGTTATTTGAATTGCATTATCAATATATTCTAGTGTTTTTTCAAACCTTAAAATTTAGGCGAAAATGTCCTCTCATTAAAAATTTCTTTATGATTAAAAAGATAAAGATTAATAAAAAACTAAAATCAAAAATGATTATGGGCTGATGGTATTGATATTCTAAATAATGAGCTTCTTTAATATGGTTAACAAGCTAGAAGACTAATTATTTACAAATATATATAAAAATTCTAATTTATGTTAGGGATTTTATTGAATTAGTCAATAGTCTAATTAAAATAATCGATTTTATTATTGTATGAATCATTTTTATCACTATGTTGATAATAATTACTTTATATTATTGACATTATAATTCAATGAAATAAATTAACATGAGGAAAATTGAATTTTTGTTAAAATGTATTATAATAATTTACTAATTAAATGTCTGAATTTTATGACAAAAAAAATTGAGAATAATCTAATATTGTTATTGTATTTAAAATATTAACTTTAGATAAAATAACAATCGTTGAAAATTAAATATTATAATGTGCTTATTATTTGATCAAAATCTCAAAATATGTTTAGTTTTATAAATAAGTACAGTAAACATTCAGTCTTAATACATTGAAAGTTAAATTCTTCAAAATTTAATAATTCAAAAATAGAATACTTTATAGTAAAAGCTTGAAAAATATATAGAATAAAACAAAATCCTCCTTTATTGACTTAAATTAAACTCAATTATTATAGAAAGGTAATGTTATAAAAAAGAGGATTGATTTCTAGATTTCAGATCTTGAAGTAAACCACTTCTCTATCATGCTATGGATGTGCTTCAAATATTCCTTTAAGTCGGATATTTTATAGCATAGGAGACACTACCTTATAATTTTAAAATCAAATATTTTTGTGGATGTCGAATCATGCTGTTGCTCAATTAAGTTCTATTAAATTCCTATTAAATCCAACAAAAAATTTATTCAGGGGCTTCTATAATTTTCATTAAATTTCAATGACTGATTATTGAAATATTTTACAGGGTCCCAACATTAAATAAAGATCTTATCGAATCTTAATTAACCAACTTGATGAAAATTGATTGATTTACGAGTTTCAATCTACTTCTATTATCTATCTTAGATAAAGAGCAATGCACTAAGCGTAGGTCCTAACTCAGCTTTCTTCTCATCGCTGGCTTCTTTTCCTTTCGAGCTTTTTTTTCTGATATTGAGCTTAGAAGGAACGAACAATGCCAATCTTATAATTGACTCAGGCATCTACCTGCATTTTGAAGATTTGACATAAGGATTGTTCTGTTGAAATCTTTCTCCTGCTCATGCCAGCATACCGAAGCGAAGTACCTGAGAAACAAGAAAACCTTGGAGCCTCGAAGAGGGAACTCCATTCCCCAATTTGCTAGATGGGCGGAAATTATCAATATCATAATTTGATTCTTTTATTGAATTAAGCTGTTTTATTATTAAAGTGCCTTATAAATTCTCCAAAATGATGGATTAATTTTGTTACATCAAAATAAAAATCAAAAAGAATGCCTGGGTAAAAACAGAAAGACCTTATATGAGATATCCCCCTGTTGAAACATGGCAATATTCAAGGTCTCTGTTCATTCATTCCTCTCATTTAGTCAACCAACATCAATGCAAAGTTTCATGGATTCAGATTATGTTAATTAAAAAAAATGATTTTACTGCATGAGATATTAATATTTCTCTAAATGATATTCAAAGGTATTCAAGGTTATTTTTTTAATGTCTTAGGGTTTTTAGAATTCCCCGTCTAGCTATTGCTAAAGCATCCCTTCAGATTAGTTATACGTGACTTGATAAGATTATTCTCAAGCCCCCTTAATAAATTTAGTATAATTAATTTTTTTCAAAACATTTATTTTGATATCATCATTATAACTTTATTTTTTTTACGTTTTAATAGAGAATATATAATTTCTTTTTAATTTACTACTCTAGATTCCTAAATTTACCCTCATAAACCTCAGAAAAATCAAGCTGTACTGTCTAAAAGATATAATACTTTCAAGGTGTAATTTAAAATTTGGGTTTGTGTTATTTTATTTATTTTCATTTTTTCTTTAATGTTAGTAAATGAAAATTAAAAACATTATTGATTCAAAATATACTAATAATTAAGAATTATATAATTTCCTTTTAAATATGTTTCTCATATTTAAAAGTAAATTATATAATTCTAAATATTTATTTTTCTCTTTAGAATGATCCATTGATAAAATAGATAAATGTAAATAATAATGAATGATATAATCATTAAATATAAAGCAAATGAAAAATCAAATTAAAAGATTTTAAACAGGGAATAAGTCAGATAAATATTTTACAAATTGAGGAGTATTTTACGTTTATATAAAGTTACATACAATTCTAGTTTAATATATAAGAAAAATCTTAAAAATTCAGTTAACTGTTTTCTTATTTATTAATACTATTTCATATTATATTTAGGAAAATGCATATTAATTTTGTCTCAAGAATTAAAAATTATGAAATACTTGCAATCGAAAATTGAATTATTTTTTGAAATTTTTTCACCATAATATGGTTTTAACATGCACAAATGCATTTTTTATTATCAACTTGAAGGATTGTATTATATTTACAATACTATTAGAAATACTACATGAAGAAGTCTTAATATTTTCTGTGTAAAGCTTGTATTATATTCATAGATAAATTATAATTATAGAGGGAAAAAGTGGAACTAGGATGGTCTGAATCTAGTAATTTGCTACAGAGAGAACTGAAATTGAATTAATTTATGTGATTAGATAGGAATTAAATTATATATAATTATAATTAAGTTACTAAGATTTATTAACCTTTAAGAGAGAATTTAGATATTGAAATACTTTGGAAATTCGAATAAAAAAAGCAGGAAAGGAAGCTATTCTCTAGTAGGAAAAATATTAGAATTGCGAAATGATATATTGGAAGTTTACCACATAGGCATAGGTGATAATCAGGATATAAAATAATTATTTATTCAATATTTTCAATATAATATTAGTAATTGTTTTACTTAACTATAAGTATTTAAGAAAAAACTGTTGTTGAGATTAGGAAAATGTATCTTCTAAAGGGGAATAAAGTGATTAAAGAATTCACATTTGTTTGTTGATACTTTATTTGAATAATATTAAGATGGAAAGAATTTAGAATAATGTATGGATCTTGATTTCTTTTGTTTTAAGTGCTTATTCTTTTTAATAATTAATTTATTCATTCTTTTGTTAATCAAATTATAGGAGTTATTATGGAGTATTTCGAGAATACTCATAAGATTATAAAGAAAATCATAAGATAATTTTTATATTTATAATCCAATTTAAAAAATATGATATACTTTAAAAAAGGAGTGCATTAAAGTTCCTTATACTCTCCTATTTTATTTGATATTTACTTTGATGAATTAATTAAAGAGATTAATTGAATAGGATAAAAACTTAAAATTAAATATTCATAAGTGAAATTATTTGCATATGCAGATGACCTAGCATTTATTGGAATTATCAAGATTGTAAAGTTGTTTTTAGACTTTATAGTGAATGCTTCTCAAAAATGGAACTTTTAGGTTTATTTAAAAAAAAAAAAAATATCTAACTGCATCAAGAAAATATATCTGTTAATATGGACACAAAAAAGAGAGATATTTCAAATATTTGTGTATATAATAGGAAAATCTACTTGAATAGTTTATGTATCGCATAAAGTTATGGANAAATAATAATGAATGATATAATCATTAAATATAAAGCAAATGAAAAATCAAATTAAAAGATTTTAAACAGGGAATAAGTCAGATAAATATTTTACAAATTGAGGAGTATTTTACGTTTATATAAAGTTACATACAATTCTAGTTTAATATATAAGAAAAATCTTAAAAATTCAGTTAACTGTTTTCTTATTTATTAATACTATTTCATATTATATTTAGGAAAATGCATATTAATTTTGTCTCAAGAATTAAAAATTATGAAATACTTGCAATCGAAAATTGAATTATTTTTTGAAATTTTTTCACCATAATATGGTTTTAACATGCACAAATGCATTTTTTATTATCAACTTGAAGGATTGTATTATATTTACAATACTATTAGAAATACTACATGAAGAAGTCTTAATATTTTCTGTGTAAAGCTTGTATTATATTCATAGATAAATTATAATTATAGAGGGAAAAAGTGGAACTAGGATGGTCTGAATCTAGTAATTTGCTACAGAGAGAACTGAAATTGAATTAATTTATGTGATTAGATAGGAATTAAATTATATATAATTATAATTAAGTTACTAAGATTTATTAACCTTTAAGAGAGAATTTAGATATTGAAATACTTTGGAAATTCGAATAAAAAAAGCAGGAAAGGAAGCTATTCTCTAGTAGGAAAAATATTAGAATTGCGAAATGATATATTGGAAGTTTACCACATAGGCATAGGTGATAATCAGGATATAAAATAATTATTTATTCAATATTTTCAATATAATATTAGTAATTGTTTTACTTAACTATAAGTATTTAAGAAAAAACTGTTGTTGAGATTAGGAAAATGTATCTTCTAAAGGGGAATAAAGTGATTAAAGAATTCACATTTGTTTGTTGATACTTTATTTGAATAATATTAAGATGGAAAGAATTTAGAATAATGTATGGATCTTGATTTCTTTTGTTTTAAGTGCTTATTCTTTTTAATAATTAATTTATTCATTCTTTTGTTAATCAAATTATAGGAGTTATTATGGAGTATTTCGAGAATACTCATAAGATTATAAAGAAAATCATAAGATAATTTTTATATAAATAGAGATATATATAATTAAATTTACAAGTTTATCAAATTAAAAATGATTATGAAAGAACATAAAAATTTAGTATTCAATTCCAATTTAAAATTAATAATTAATTAATAATAGATTGATAAGATTATTAACATCTAACTTTTTTACATTACAGAATGATATTTTAATAAAAGATTAATCATTATATTCAATGGCTAAACTATAATTAGAACAAAATTTCTAACAAAATAAATATAAACTATTTCATCTAATAGATAATGAATTAACAAATTAAAAATAAATTAATATTAACAATAAGATAGGAAATATTATTGAAAACACATAACAATAAATTTATATGAAAATTGATGATAAATATAAATGAAATATGAATCATCAAAAATTACATTAGTGTAAATTTTTGATTTTAACATATTATCTTTTAATAATTTGATTATTTAGGATATATAAAGAGTCAATAAAATAAATTTGCAGAACTTAATTCAATTATTATTATTTCTGTTGTTAAACCTAAAGGAAATCTCCTTAAAATATCAAATTACTTATTTATCTGTCCCCATTAATCTACTTTTCGAATTTGAGTTATGAGTGGAACTTCAAAATATTTTTGAAAGAAATTATGTTTAAATAGATGAATGATTATTTGACCAACTTAAAATTAAGTATAATTATTGGATGGTGATGAGAATCTTTTTGGGTAACACATTTAATCATTATTTTTTATGCAGAATGAGTCTAGCTAACAATATGGAAGAATTTGGAAAGTAGTTGGATTAAAAAGCAAGTTTTAAACTTTAAGGAACATGTGGATAGAATTAAATTATGTCTATAAAATATATGAAACTTTAGTAATCCTCTCGTAATATAAACATCTTTTAGAAGTTGTTAAAATATTAATAATAAAGGATTAAGTGATGAAATATTATAAAGCTACAAAGGAGAATAAAAGAAAATACAAAATGATGAATAGAAAATTTAATATAATTGATAAAGAAATAATATTGAGAGATAATTTCGTTTTTTATAAAAATTAAAGTTTAAATTTTTATTCTCTCTCTATTTATGACATATTAAATATAATTGAAAAAATAATTAAAAACATTTAATATGTAATATGAAATATTAATTAAGGCTGATTCAGAAAGAACAAAGAAAGAATAACTTTCTAAGGTTCCAGTTACAATAAGTTTCATCCATAGTCTCTAACAGACTTTATTGTTACTGGGCCGACTTATAAGTCTAAATTTCATAAAAATATTCATGAAAATCTTGAAAAGAAATTCTGAGGTAGGAATGATTCAAAATAGTTATAAAAAGGGATTCTGGTGTGTTTCTTTTGCACTAAAATTAGAGATTTAGCTTATAAAAGAGAAAGAAAAATAGTATAAATAAGGGAGGAAAGCATAATCATTTTATTTAAACAAATACTCTAAAAAGGTAGAATGATTAAATTAAATTCTTAAATTTTACGTTGCTAGTTTAAGAAACTACTCTTAGAAATCATCTTATAAGTTCTTAATCATTTCTACTACTCCATCAATGTATTTTTTTTGTAAGATGATTTAGAAACACAAATGACCCAAAGTTTTCTTAAGTATCTTTTATACTATTTATTTGATAATAATTTCTTAACAGAATGTAAAATATAGTCATTTCATTCTCAAATCAGACCTTTATCTTTTATTGTCCATATGGGTGATAATCATATTCATCCTTTTTTAATTACTTTTGTATGTTAATTAGGTTTAGTATGTCTTTATGTATAATTATTTTAAAACCTAGTCTATATTTTTCATTATCATTCAAAATTTTTGTTGATTTTTTCCTTTTATAAACCTATCTGATGATTAGATATTTCCAAGTTGATTAATTTACTAATTCCTTAAATTCCTCCAGGCCTATTAATTATATACAAAATATTAATAGTCATAAAGGAATCTAAATTATTAAAGATGCTATCAATATTTTTATCGCTAGCAAATCACAATTTTTTAATTGTATCGTTCCAATTTTTTCATATTAACAATTTTTTATGATTTTAATATTTAGATCCATTAAATAACGAGTTTTTTATTTAGGGATATTGTTCTGATGTTTTACCGAATTGTAAAATTTTTAAATAGCTAGCATCATTAACTTTATATTAATTATACATTCTTCTTTTAAATAAATGATTAATATATAAATAATTATTAATATAAAAAAATGTATAAACCAAAAATGATAGAAAATGAAAAAAATCTTCATTGTTTAATGAAACATGAATTACCTGTTTCAATGGTTATTCTAGATTCTAAACTAACATAAAATTAAAGACTTTTGTGTTAGAAATGCATTGATAATTTTGAATCAGAGTAATAATATAAGACAATAGGATTTAAAAAAATAGTTTAGAAGATTGAAGATAATAAATAGTAATAATTAAATATTATAGAAAATCTAATTATAAGTAATATTAAATAAGTTGAATCATTTTAAATTGAAATGAATAATTTAAAATCTATGATTATTTAATAATTAGATCAATTAATTAATAATACAAAAGATTGGATATTAAATTTAAAATAAATAGGATTTTAATATTCAGAATATAGTTTCTTTAAAGAATTAGATTTAATAATAATTAATTAATAAAATA